CCGCCAATGATATTGCACTCTTAGAAGCCATCGATCAAGATCAAGAAACTTTATTGGACAACCATGCAACTCAGGACTTGTCCTCACTGTTGGTTTCAGACTCCTGTCTTGACCAAATAAGTCAGGACAGCCTTCTTGATGATAGCACCTTATCCACTCTTCCAACCATTGAGAATTCGGCTGAAACGCCAGACTCATTAGATTCTTTGGACATGCATAGGGATGTGGTGCATGGACAGTCATCGGAAAATCCTGTAAACAATAAGCTTCAACCCCCATACAAAGCCGCTGACAGTGGGTATGAAACAGAGAACTTGGAGTCACCCGAGTGGAACTCTCAAACAGGCTTGAGGGATTCCTCTGAAGAGAATGAGACGGGTAGTGCCGTGGAGCCTATGGCACTGGTTCCACCGGAAATCATTGTGTCTGAGGTGGACAGTGTACCTGACGTTCAGGTAAATGCTGGTAGAGTTGATCACCAACAAGAACTTGGTGAAGTTCCCTTGGGAGGAAACTACAGAGACTCTGCTTACTTCTCAGACAATGAGGAGCTAGATAAAAAGAGTGATGACATTGGTGGAAGCGGCCAAGGAGATGCTTCATTTTGGCTCCAGGGTAATCGAGAAGCTGGCGAAAGTCAAGGAGCTGAAGCTGTTGAGGAGCATTCGGTGTCCGAGATATCCCTTCAATCTGCAGGTCCTACTTTAGAATCAACTGATGGTGATGTACAGACTCCTTTGCCTGAGTTGGTTCTCACCACTGAGGAAGATTGGAGGCAGGATAAACCATTGACTGTTGACGACTCAGACCAAACTCATCCCCATGCAGCCCCAGAACATGCAGCAACACCACCTACCTCAACGCAGCCCTCAACAGACGTCAAGGTCCATGCAAAGCTAACAAGGACATATGCTGGGGAGGGAACAAAGAAAAAAGAGCCAGATATGGAGGGGAGGTACTTAGGAAAGCTCGATGGATCCTCAATGGAATATGGCACTGAGGATGGAATGGATGCTGATGAAGAAGATGAGAACAGTGATGAGTCAGATGACGACATGCGTGCCTACCGATTACACAGCTCTAGCTCTGAGTGCAGTGAGGATGAAGTTGTGCACCCGGTACCTGTTATCATCTCGGACAACAGCAGTTCCCTCAGCCTCAAAAGCTTACTGAAACCCAAATCCCTTCAGACTGCTAAAGCAACATCAGAAGAGGGCAGCGATGGAAATAATAGACGTGGCGTGTCGTTCTTTGATGACGTCACTGTCTACCTTTTTGACCAGGTCAGATGTTTCCCTTGCATTCTTAAATCTTTTTAAATAAACTCGATTATTTTTTTAAGAGAGGCTTTTTCTGTGCCTGATTCCCTGTTTTTCAACCAAATAGGAAACCCCAACAAAGGAGCTTGGTGAGCATACTCTTGACCCCAGTAGTCAATTGTCTGATTTCAACAGTCCAGTGTCCTCCAGCTACTTTAATAGATTTACCAACTCTGAGAGCTCCACTGATGAAGAAGGTAATGACTATTGATAATTTTCTTCTTTACGGTCATCAGTGTTTCCCAACCTTGGTCCTGGACCCCTCCAAACAGTGCACTTTTTGGAGGTTATCATTATCTGACACACTCATTTCAGGTCTCATGCTGTCCCCCAATTCCTCCTCTTATACTATGCCCTAAATGTAACGTACTCTTTTTAAGAGGAAAAAGTAGATACTTTTGAGTGTGTTGCAGAAGGCAAGATTTTGGGACATACTACCATGTCTTAAAATTGTCCTTTGTCGCATAGTGACCTGCATTCTGCCACCATAAAAGCTACATTCTCATATGCAAAAATCTACCAAAAATAATAGACCACCGTTACATTTGGCGTACCCTTTTCTACATACTATTTTTTGGGACACTTATTTCACACACTATTTATGATGGAAAGTATGCACATTGGGATGCAGGGTGGGAGTCTCTATTAATGAGCCAATGAGTTCAGTCAGGTGTGTTTGATTGACGAGGCGTTCAAAATATGCTGTGTGGCGGATACTCCATGACCGGGGTTGGCAAGCACTGGTCTACATTTGAACTGTGAACCCATTAAACCAGTGGTACTTAACTTAAGGCCAATCAGAAACCAAATTTCCAAACATTTTTTGGTGTCTCTGCGAATTAAATTCTTTTAAATTGACATGTCATCAAAGAGCCATGGTTGAATACAAAGACTTTAAACCTTTGGATTTGATTCACAGGCGGCGCATTTGAGTGGGATGATGACTTCCCATCTCCAGAGCCCAATTTTCTTGCAAAAGCAGCCAGTGATCATTCTGCCAGTAGGTCCAGTGGGACCTCGGCAGCTTCTAAGTATTTGTCACCACCCCCTGCGAATCGCACCTTGGAGCAGAGCTGGAACAGTCCCTCCAACTACACGCGCTTCTCCATCTCCCCAGCCAGCATCGCTAGCTTCTCCCTCACCCACCTCACAGACTCCGACATTGAACAAGGGGGTAAGTTGAACACAAACATCCACGCATGAACAAACTAGAATGGGACCTCAAGAATCTCGACTTCTGAATCCTGTTTCTCGTTTTCTTTCTCAGGAAGTGGTGAAGATGGAGAGAAAGATTAACCAGTCTTTTGGAGACGTGTAAATGTTGGAGAAATGTGACGGATACATTTGCTTTGAAGGCTTTGATTGCTTCTCAGGCAGCATTGGTATTTATTTGAGGTTATGAAGGGGACTGCAGAAACTGAGCAGGTGGAATCATGTGTTCTGCAAATGAGATATGATTTGCAATGTTTTTCATCAGTGCAATTTGAAAGAAACTTTGCTTCACATATGCTTTAGAAACTTTCACGCGCTTCCCAAGTGTCCTGCCTCACTTTTGTTTTTTCCTTTTGCTCCATATGCATTACTTCTTAGTGTCCACATTTTACTTCAGAAGGATGAAGCTGAAATCTATCGTTTAACCAGAGGACTCCCTCTTAAACACTAATGAGCCAATCGACTCAAACTCAGTTGTGCAATTGAAACCGTACAATACTTGCCTTTTATTTTAACACACTGGATTTTAAATGTTTTTTTAAAAATGTGAAATCTAGTGTGACATGCTTATTTATATGATTGTGTATCGGATTAGATGTCCAATAGAAGCAGTATGGGTCTCTCCATAGATATTTTTGTACAGTGTTTGGACCGTTCATTCATGACAACGCACCACTTTCACCCAAGCAACAACTTGCATAGTTTCAGTGACTTGTTTTGTATTACATGATGTAAAAAGTCAGGATATGAGCAGCTGAGCGGTTTCGGACATGAGACGCTAATAAGTCTTAAAGTAGTGAGCAGTCTTTGTCATTGTGGTCTATTCATGAGGAGTTCTTAAGGAGTGCTGCATATCAGGGCTTTTTGTTGAAGCTTTGTGGGATTGTATATTGAATGGGCCGTCGCAGTGCCTCACAGCCCCCTCTCCTCCCGTGTCTTCATCCTTGCTGAATGTTGTGCGAGTTTTATTATTCAGTACCAAGGGGATTCTCACCCATCTAGAACATACCAAGCTCATATTTCACCTCAAAATCAAAAGAAAAAAAACGTATATTTCTCCAAAAAATGAAGCCTATTTTTGGGATCATTTTTTCGTGAGATTCACCAACAAGTTGTCATTTGTGGCGGTGGATTGATCTACAAGTCAGCGAGTAATTCTGAAAGGTGGTGCAGAGAGACTAGCTCGCAACTGGCAGGACTTCCAGCTGACGGCTGCTTGCGAGCATCGAGTAGACATACTGTTCAATGGAAAAACAAAAGAACCTCCTTACATTTCTGATTCCCTGTGTTCACTTTAAAAAGCAGCTTGTAAACACTCAAGGGATTGGAAATGATTGAGTTTTTCCTCTTTTGTGCATGTAGTATTCATTGGACCTGAAAGTCATAGGTCATATGAATCCTTTATATTTGCCAGTCTTGCTGCTCTGAATGCTTTTCCTTTGGGTTGACGATGAACCCGATCGACTAATGTATATAGCCTTGTAATGTATGTCACCTTGTATCAAATCAAGGTGAAAACTACACAATCAGAGGAAAGATCGAGTATTTCCTCGGTTCAATCTGGAAGAACGTCGATTTTGCTATGACATACTCAAGATTGTCTTGCATAAATTGGGAGCCTGGTTATTTGTAAAGGTTATTGCTGGAATAATCGGGTTCATAGCTTCTACTTCCCCTTGTAATTCAGTACAGTAATCTCTTGTTTTAGACCCGTTGAATATCTGTATTACCAGCACTCGATCGTCAGTTCAAATTGAAATTTTATGAAAGGAAATTGTTTGGTTTTATTCTACAGTATACTTTGCTTAATCTTGCACATCTTTAAAGTGAAACTTAATGTTGAGTTGTTCTCCTGTATATAAATGTTTAATTTTGTCTGTAAATTGGGTATGATGTTAGGAATAGGTATGAGGACTGATTTGTTTTTGTAATTTAATGCTAAAATGTGACATCACGGGTGAGAAGTGATCGAAAAAGACAAATTAACGATGGAGTAAATGGGGAAATGCAGGTCATCATGTCCTTGTAACTTGTAAATTTTAAAAAATGGTGATATTTTTACTTCATATTGATGACGATGATCATGCCTAGTGTCATTGAAGGAATGGTTTATAATGAATTGCTCTGTTTATTATGGAATTAAATGAAAATGAACTTCTGTCTTGTATTATTTCTGTGTCATGCATGTTTCACACATGCTTTTATTCACAGGTTCAAGCAATGGTGCGAGTTTGGGGAAAGTGTGTCAGACCAAGATCAGATGGGGTAGGATTTAGAAAATCATTTCTTTATTTTATTTTTGAACTTTTGTTTGGTGATGCAGACATTTCTTTACTTGAATTCACAAAGAAAAACAAGCTGGTGCTTTTTAACAGATCTTTATTGGAAAAGAAAGACCACAGTAGGGAAGTTGTCAACAGCATTGTCTACTTAAGTGGACTATTTATATTATTTCCAAATAATTTAATCAAACCAATAACATAAAATGGGCGTCTACCGAGTACAGAAACAAATACGGCAACAAGAAAATGTGCCATGCGCAAAACAAATTGACCTCAGGTGATTCAAATCATACATGTACAGAAATCAAAAGAAGTTCAGTCACACCCAGAAGCTTGTTTTCACAGAGGTGAGAGTTTGTTATTCAGGCAAGTGGAATCAAAAGAAGAAGAAAAAAAGTCCCATTTGGTTGGAAGGGCACTGGGCAGAGACAGGAAGGGTGTCAAGAACAGCAAGCTGGGACGTGCAGTCAAGCATGATGAAGGTGATGATGATGGTGGTATTGTGTGAGTAGCAGCAGAATGACTAGCAGCTCACAGCATTCCCGTTCACCTGACTCTGAGTCCGGCTGGGCATTGGACTGCGCAGTGCCACACGCTGCGCCTCTAAAGAGTTCCCTCTCACCGACAGGTGGTCCCAGCCGCCCTGTTGAAGAAGTGACTGTGTAAAGATCTGTTGACACCAGGTCTACATTAGACCTTATGTAACTTTTGCAGAAATTATACACCATTTTAAAATGGGACAATATGTAAAATAAGCATCTGTTGTCCCCAGAGTGTGTGTGAAGTTTTAGCTTAAAGTACCCTACAGATACTTTTTTTACAGCATGTTAAAATTGTCCCTTTTCGAGGGTCAGTAATAAACGCGTTGTTTCGTGTGTGTCCCTTTAAATGCAAATGAGCTGCTGTTCCCGGCACAGAGGACGGCGCTTCAAGAGCTGTGTGTGTGTGATTACCTCACGCAGACACACACTAAAATATCAGAAACTGTTCTGCCTTTTAAGTTTAAACTGGAGTCGGACAATGATGGAGAGACTCAAGAAGAAGTGACAACGTGTAGAATTCAACAGGACGTCTCTGAATGGTTAGTTGATGAATTTATGTTGCTGATGATGTGAAGTTAACTATCTTCAATTAGCATATTCTGTCATGATAATCTATAAATCGCTCGTGTGGGAACGGTTGTAAGATGCCTACAGAGTGACGTGATATTGCATTTGTGTTACGTACTTATTTCATGTGAAAGACGGATGCGACAGCTCGAGCAAACTCACAAATGTGCTCGACTACAACAACTCTTCCTCTTCTCAACATGGACTGCGTTCCCGAAGGCGGGTTTATGTAAACATTAGGGTTGGTGATGTCAATAACCCGGGAGGAATGTCCTGTAGTCCTTAAAAAACGATTTCTTTAAAAGCAAATCTCTTCCTTTGCTTTGAACTTTGAGCGTTGCAACTTTGCAGATGTTGTTTATGCTCAAACAGCAACATCACACACTAACTAAAGTCAGAAAAGTGAATTCATAATCAACCACACTTTAATGTGAACAGTTGTGGAGAGACTCACCCCGATACCGAAGTCCCAGCTCAGGCCTTTCGGCTGCATGGGCTTCACTCCCAGTCTGTGGCACACAGTTCCTGAGCTTTCTAATGGATAACCTGCCACTTTATCAGCAATTATCCAAACCTGGACAGATAAAACATCACAACCACAACCAGTTTCACAACCAGCAAAACGTGTTTTTTGTGTCAAGTTATTTCATATTTAGGTTTGTTAGGGGTGGATCTGGGCATGATGGGAGTTGGTAAACCTCAGGAGGAGCAACCCAAGGTGTAGATGGAGGAAAGGTTACGTCTAAAACAAGAGAAGGCAGCATAAAGTAACAGTGGATAAAGGAAACAATAACTTCCACACACAGAGATGGGGAAGGTGCAGCATATACAAGGAGAACAGCAAAGGGCCTAAGACAGAGCCTTGTGGAACACCATACTTTAGTTTGGTCAGGTAACCTTTCATTTACACACATGAAGTGCTAGTGATTTGATATGTAATATTTAAACTAGGCCGAATACTATTAACTCTTTCCCTGCCAGCCACCTACAGCATTTTTGATATTTTTTTACAAAACTTTTATGGACCCCAGAACATTTTGTTGTATGAATATCAACATGCAATATATAAAACAAAGAACAGAGCCTCTACTTTTAAACTACAACAACAACAAAAAACAATTTATTGCACTTCTTTATTGCATGCTTTTTTTTTTTTTTTAAATCAACACTTGAATGTGGGTGTTTCATAAAAAAAGCAACATTTTGAACAAAAAGCTGAGAAAATCGTGTTTAAAAAACAATTGACTACAGTGTGCATAAGCAAGGCTTTTTTTATGCTTGTTTCTGCTTTTTTGCCTGTGTTTTGATTAGGGCTGCAACAAACGATTATTTTGATAATCGATTAATCTAACGATTATTAGAACGATTAATCGACTAATCGTCGATTATTTCGCCGACTAATCAGTAAGTTTGGAACGATTATTCAGCTTTTCCAAGTAGTTAAAATATTGAGTTATACATATTCTAACTATAATATAAAAAAAGAAAGTCACTTCAGCTTTTGAAATAGTTGTTTTAATGAACTTTGAGCCAACTAAACAGGTCATTCTCTTTAAGTTTTCAGATTTCGGTCCAACTCAAATCACACACAAATGCTCTCTAAGCATTGTTTAATAGGCCCACTGCTTTTCTTAGAACTGAAACAGAAAAAGGGACATTTACTTCAGGACACAAAGAATGGTAAAATATGAATCTGCAAACAATTATTATAATTATAAAATTACAATCTTTTTTTACATGACAATTGAGCTGACAGAGACGTTCTCATTCCCTTTTAATTTATAGTATGATAAAGTGCCATGATATTCTTCCTATGTCATAGGAAGGATATAACATCTCGTTTTTTAAGTCTTCATGATTATTGAACAAAATACAGGCAAGTGATAAGACTATAATAATACCTAATATACTAATAGTGTTACAATAATAAAAACAGCCCTGACTTCTAAGCTCGATCAAGCTTTATTCTATACAAAATAAGTCATCACATTACTGTAATTATATTACTATTGATAATATTATTACTATTATTAGTAGTATTGCATTCTCTAATAAAGAGAGATTTACCGCTGGTTAGTAGGCTAAGCTCCAGCTGGAGAACACTCACTTCTCACCGGCTCCTCTTTTGCCGGGATGTTTCCTCTTGCACTCCAACATGCATGTTGTGCTCCCGTGAAAATTGCACACGACAGCATTCTTGATTTGAAGTTTTGTGAAACTTTCCCAAACCTAAACCTTGCTAGTTCGGATTCGTTTGCACTGTCATAATTCGCGCTGTTTTCTCTTCTACCGCAATAGCATTTGTAAGGGCTGCACTACACTCTAGCGCTACAGCGCCGTAGCGGTCAAATCGCGGGATTGCAGGCCCTTACATTAGGTCACGTGAGATCAAACGACTACTCGACAACAAAGATATTTGTCGACAAATTTTTATTGTCGACGTTGTCGACAACGTCGACTAATCGTTGCAGCCCTAGTTTTGATCCGGCAGAGATTCTGTACTCTCAGAAGATGCGTACTAGCACCCCCCCCCCCCCAAACCCCCACATTATAAAATATTATAAAATGTGTAATAGCCCCCCACAATATGTGTGTGCTTTAGTATGTTATAGAGGCCTGCATTTCAGCCCGAGCCCGACGGGCCCCGACTTATTTATGCTCCTAGGGCCGGTGTGGTGAATAATCGGGTTACTCGGTGTGAATAGTCCGGGCGTAGGACCCCATTAGTATGCCAGTAGTATGCCTGATCTGAATCTGTTCTCGCGATAACTTGTAGCTAACGTGAGCTGTTTTAGTGTTATTATGTGGTAGCTTTATGTAGAATGCTAACTCCCGTTGCTATATGCAAGGTAAGATTAAATTAAATTGCATATTGTATATGTAAATTGTGTATATTCTATATCTAATATTTAAAATCTCAAGTTGCGTCAATAGCAGAGGAGAAAGACCGCGAAATTTAAAAATACTACTGTTATTGTGTATGAAATGTAGTTTTAAGAGTTTTTCAGTCGACAATGTAGTTGCTTCAATCTCAAATATGTTGTTTGTTTATACAGATAGCGCCTATTTAAAATTATGATCTGACGTTTTCGGAGATGTCGTTTTCGGACGCTCAGCGCTCAAGTACCCCGCCTGGACCAGCCCACCTCGGCTAGTCCAACCATTCCTTCTTTCCTAGGAGACTCTTGTAGATAAAAACATATTGCAGCATCAAGCAATATCTAATGAATCATATCACAGTTAAATTTTCCAAATTTTGATTTTAGATTGGGAGAAAAATCTGATTAATCATCTGTCCACTGTAGTGGACCTCATGCATCAATGGCTATATTTCAGCTACAGTTCATACTTATACTGTGAATATTCTTATTGAAAATACTTAATCTGCAGTGACATTTATGTAAATAAATGTATTTGTATTATTAGAATGTAACGTGCTTACATAATGTATGTGACTTGTATTGCATTGTATTACTTTACTTTTAAATGAGTAATAAATGAGAAGAGTTGTAAATGAGAGATAACTTCTTAATGAGTTTGTCTTATATAAAAGCCCTTAAAGTGATGAAAAAAGAATGCAATAAATATTGTTTGCATTAAAGAAGCATACGATTTACAAAACAAAAACCCATCCAAGCCCCTTTAACCTTTCAATCTTTTTTGTTTAATACTGATTATTATTTTTCTTGTTTTATTTGTATTTCTTTTATGCACCTGTTCTTTATATTCTAATGCAAAGATGTAATGATATTGCCATGCCGTTTTTTACATCACAAAAAAAACGTATTAGAGATAACGTTTTTTCACCAATACAATATTTTTGCACACATCGAAAGGGCAATATATATGTTACACAGGTTTTTAAAAAACTATTTACGCGACTCGTCAATACAATATTGTCATTTTTAAAGACACTTGAAAATCACCAATGAGAATGTCTCATCACTTTTTTTTTTTAATGTGGGACTATATATACGATTGCCATGTTTCACAGGTCCCTTTCGTCAGAAATTCTACAAAGTATCTCTGCGAAAATTTCATCTTTGGACATCTGTGCATCTCTCTGGACAGTTTCATCTCTGTGACCAAACATCTCTGGACAATTTCATCTCTGCGACCAATACATTTACCTTACTTAATTCAAAAATACAATTTAATTATCAATTTAACTTTACATTAATTTTTTTTTTTTTTTCTCATCATCCAACATTTCAGTAAGTATATCCATCACCCGGTGTATTTTAATAATGTTTAATTGTAGGTATATTTTAATATAAACGAAATTATCGGCCTGTAATTTTTTTTTTACCGTTATAGATATATCTATAACGGTAAAAATAGGCCTACTTAAGACAAAGTTCATAATTATTGCATGAACATGCTTTTCTTTAGGAAAAAAATATTTGCAATGTTATAGGCCTAATACAATTTGGACGAAAGTCTTTGTTGCCGAATGAAGAATTAAAAATGAAAGGTCTCAGCTCATGTAAGTTAGGCACTTGCAAAAATTACACCTAAGCGAGTGTGAGCACCTGGGCACAGTTGCATTGAATATATTAATAACTCGTGCTATCAAAGTTAACGCATGCGATTATTTTAGTCCAGTTTAACGCGATGAAAATAACGCAGCATTGGTTTTATTTCTGTCATCCTTTAGCTAGCGTAACATTTAACATGCACTTAAAGCACATGGTTTGCAAACATTCGAGCGCGAAAAGATACATATGTCCTGACAGTTACGCGCACCTTCTGGTGCGCACTGCGCAGCAGTAATTGGCAGTCGGCAACTGCAGTTCTTAAAGGAACAGCACCCAATATAGCTGTCTCCACTCGACGTCAATCAAATAACAATGGGAACAGAGAACATTACTCACTGCTCCTAACTAAAGAACTTTTGTAGCTTTAAAAAGGATTCATTTATATATAATTTAGAAGACAGCTGTCTATACCCTCACCAGTCAGCACTTACATTCCAGTGCACACTACACACGACACTACACACTACAGTGTTCAACACCTGTTGTAGATGTGTAAACGCATGAATAAATATTTAAACGCATGAATAAACACTTTTTGCATCCCCCAATCTAAAGTGTAAACTATTAATTACTTGTTAATGTGTTACATTTACCTTTTACAAATGATACTTACCTGTTAAAAATTATCTGTATGTGCATTCAAGGAATTTACAACGCTTTCTGCACCCTGTAATTGCTACATGTACATAAATGTTAACCCATAAAGCTAAGTGGTTTCTTAAGTTTGATAATTAATCTGCTGTGTCATGTTTATGACAATTTATGTTGTCTTGTCATGACAAAGACACTGACAGGTTATGATGTATTGGTTTATGTCAAGTTGTCATAACAAAGACATCTCAAACAATTTCATATCTGCATTCAAAATGTCATAATTGAGCGAATGACACTTAATGACTGTTGTCATAAACATGCATAAAAACTCCTGCATATTCATGACATCTGATGATTGATCTCATGATTATGAAGGTGTCATGTCAGTCTTATGCACACCCCTTCAAGTAAAGTGTTACCAATCAGGTACTAATCACTTGTA